TATATATTTTTAGTTGTCCAGATCATTTCTTTCTATTTTTAGTAGAGATGGAGTCTCGCTCTTGCTTAGGCTGGTCTCGAACTCCTGACCTTGAGAGATCCACTCGCCTCAGCCTCCCAGAGTGCTAGGATTACAGGCGTGAGCCACCGTGCCCGCCAGTCCACTACTTTTGAGGATCTGCATTTTTATAAAGCTGCTTTTATTGTTAAGTATTATGTGACAATATTTCAGTGCTAGACATTCATCTCTGAATGTTATCCTTGTGTTCTAGGAGCCTAGTCGACACTGTTTATGCCTTGAAGGACGAGGTCAAGGAACTGAAACAGGTAATAAAATGTAAAAGTCATTTTCTCAGATCATAGAACCACTCCCTGTTCCTTGCCACACACTGGTAGTGCTGTCAGAAAAGGTCCAGGAGCAAGGTTGTGAGAGGGGATTTTTATTTTCCTTGTGTCATCAAGGTAGGTTTTGTTGATTTTTCCACATAGCCTTGGGTTTAAATTTCTGAAGCTTGCTTACATTCATATTTAGTGATTTGCAATAGGGTTGCAAATTTAGTTACGACTTTCCTGTTCCCTGCCATCCGTAAACAGACCTTAAGAAAAGACATATCATTCGTGAGTGTGTAAGTGTTTGTGGGCTTTCCTGCAGATGTAGTCCAGTGCTCCATGGTGCACACTCTACCTCGTGTGCAAGGACTGACTGTACCTGGTGACAGGGTGAGGGCTGGATGGGAGGGGAGAGAGACCAGGGACTGGAAGACCATTTAGGAGGTTCTTACAAAATTCAGGGTGAGACATGTCAAAGTCCTGAACTGAGGCAGGCCAACGAGGCCGTGGAGGAGGAGGACGAGTGTAAAAGGGCTGCACATCACAGAGTTTGAACCTATGGAATATGATCAAGAAAGAGCCAGGGATTAAAGATGGAGCTTCTTCCCTGGGTATCTAATCTGATATGGTGGTGCCCTTCAAGGAGATCAGGAACCACAGGAGGAGAAGTTTGGAGTGTCAGAGGAGATACTGAGTTCACTTTAGGACCTAATAACTTTGAGGTGCTTGTAATGTATCTAGGTGGAAATACCAAGCTGGCATTTGGAATTGTGGACCTGGTGCTCAGGAGATGAGGTCCGTACCAGAGATATTTGGGAAATGCCTTAATAGACACTTGGGTTGAAAGAGAAGAGACACTAAGTGAAAAAAGCGTTGAATTAGAAGAGGGCCAGGGCAGGGAAGAAGAATGCAAAAGGCTTGCCTGAGACAGGTGGGAGAATCAAGATGCTGCTTTGTCTTAGATGCTGACGGAGGGGAGGTTGAGGAATGAAAGCGAGTGGGTGGTGAAGGCTGCTGGGAGGATGAGTAGGAGGAGCCCCGGGCAGGGCCCCTTCTGTGTGGTAATCAACATGTCTTTCCCCATTATAGGAGAATAAAAGAATGAAGCAATGCCTGGAAGAAGAATTGAAGTCAAGAAGGGATCTAGAAAAGCTGGTGCGGAGGCTATTGAAGCAAACAGATGAGTGTATTCGAGCTGAGTCCAGTAGCAAGACCTCGATTCTTCCGTAACCATCACTGTGCCGCTGGGCAGAGAGTGCCTTCAGGGCATCTTGAAATGTCCCACAGAATGATTCGACTCCATTTGCTCACTTCTGTGGCTTTTATTTTGTGTTTTAGTCTCTCTCATTCTCTCTCTCTCCCTATGTGTGTGTGTGTGTGTGAGCTTGGGCATTTGTTGTTTGGTTATTGGTTGGTTGTTCATTTTTGTGAGCAGGGGAAAAAGCAGGAGGTGGTGGTAGAAGTGGCCCCAGAATCTTTTCCATTCAGTAAGAAAAGGAAAGTGAATGCAGGCAAATGACTTCAAAGGTTTTCAGATGGCTTTCCGCCATTGCCCTTGGGTCACATTCTTTGGGCAGGCTCCTGTCGAAAAGCAGCTGACCGTGGCTTATTAAATGAGAACCCAACTTTCCCGCCAATGCCTTCCTGTACCTCCAAGCCCCACAGTACCCAATTACTGAAGGCAAAGCTTCTTGAGCTATGATGCGAGTAGGGTGAAAGATGAACACATTGGCCCAATGACCCAGCTGCCCTTCCCTAGACCATCATGTGCCATCCCTCAATCACACTTTTTTTTGTTCCTGCCTTATGTTGTCAATAAGACCAAGAAAACTGTAGTACCCTTATTTTTGTCGTGTTGGTGTACATTGTAACTCAGTGGGGCAGAAGCTTGGGTCATCCTTGCCAACACCAAATCCATCAGCAAATTGTACTGGACAATCTTCCCCTTCAACAGCAGAGTTTCTTCCCAGTGCATGATAGGTTTTACCCCACGCCTTCTGCCTAGTGTGCAAGTTTTCTATTTCCCCAGTGCTTTTAGCCAACCATACCAAGTGGTGTGTAAACTAGTATGTATGGGCTTTGCTAGTTTTAAAAAAATGTAGTTAGACTGTGAACAGTTACTTTATCTACATTGCATATTCAAACTGCAAACTTTTGTCCTTCGAAACAATCTGCATCGAGGAGATATCATGCCCTAGTAGACGGCTTTCATTCACTGTATTGCTCTCTCATATATCTTGTGAGAAGTTGTAATATTCATTGGCCACTTCGAGTAGGACTCTATGCCTTATTTGCAGAAATGTGCTGTTGGTTCAGTGTGTATATGCAGAACAAAAGGGCCCCTCTAGTACCTGCGTGCTGGTTACTAGTGAAGCTGATTATTTGGAACTGGTTTACTCAAGTTGCTCATTGAATCAAACCATCAACTTTGTAAGTATCCCAGAAACCAGAACTGTGAGAAACCAACTTCAGAAGAGAGTCACAGAGCAGCACACATCCAAATCCAGTACAATTGAGAATCGGCCCAAGGCCCTAGGACAGAGCAGCGCAACCTGCCCCTCCCTCCCCCAAAGACAAGGGAAATTTGGCAGGGTGGGGAAGGTCACTGGAAGAGAGAACAAGGGCCAAAGAGTTGATCAAAGTTGTCTTCCAGATACATTTGATCAGCGCCTGTAAATGTGGGTTTTGCAAATGTTTAGAAACCAAACTTGAAGCTTGAAACCCCGAGCTTGCTGAGGAGCCCTTTTTCTTCTGGTATGGAGGGTCTCAAGGTCCCATAGCTACATGGTACGGGATTGTTGTTTGCTTTTTGCACAGCAGAAATGACATGATCCACAGGAAATGGACTATTCCTGCAGTCCACCATCAGCCAAGCACTTAAAGCTGTCATTGGAAGCTGAAGAGTAAAGACGATTTCTAGGAATGGCTATTGTTCTGTTCTTAAGCACGGCAGTTTAGATATGACATTCTTCACTTAAAAATTAAAAGCACCACCACCAATAACAACACCAACACAGATCTTCTCATCTGCCCTGCCTGTGGTTAGTCAATGGCTTGCAATAAATGTGCAAACTATATCCATAGGAAAAATTTTTGTGATTACAAAATACTTTAGCTGATTGCTGAAAATAATGAAAGGTCTTTATTTTAAAGTGATGTGTACATATGCATGGGACTTGGCCCTTCTGCTGAGAGGCCCTCGGTACTCTGGATAGTGAAGCTTGTGCAGAGTGGTATCTGTGCTTTCACACTAAATAATAATATAAAGGAAATGAAGCCATGTTAACCTGAGAGCAGTGTCTCCATAGTTGTGTTGTTTACAGTACTCTACGAATGGGTTCCTGTCACCCTGTAATTAAACTGCTGCCCTTAGAGGCCTTTCAGTTCCTTTTTGGTCATATCCCTTCTTACACAAGCTCAAATTTTCTAACTTGTTTTTATTTTGAAGACTTTTAAAATTGACGTTTTCAATACATAAGAATAAACAGTGCTTTATAAAAATAAGTTCTTTGTTTCTTTTTTTGCTCGCTGGTGTGCAGAAAGATCTCTTGTGCTGTGTCAGCTTCCTCTCCCATTTCCCTCATTAGCTAGTCCACTTTCGCTAGGCCCTCTTTCCAGCTTCTACCTCTTTCACTCGGGGCAGATGACATTTGTTCCCTACTTTACAGAGATAATCCATGTCACGAGATAGAACCTTTCTTTTTTTTTTTTTTTTTTTTGAGACAGAGTCTCACTCTGTTGCCCTGGCTAGAGTGAGTGCCGTGGCGTCAGCCTAGCTCACAGCAACCTTAAACTCCTGGGCTCAAGTGATCCTTCTGTCTCAGCCTCCCGAGTAGCTGGGACTTCAGGCATGTGCCACCACGCCCGGCTAATTTTTTCTATATATTTTTAGTTGTCCAGATAATTTCTCTCTCTTTTTAGTAGAGACGGGGTCTCCCTCTTGCTCAGGCTGGTCTCGATCTCCTGAGCTCAAACGATACACCCACCTCGGCCTCCCAGAGTGCTAGGATTACAGGCGTGAGCCACCACGCCCGGCCAGAACCTTTCTTAACTTCTCCACCTATCTTTTTCTGGCCCCAATTTATAAACTGCCTATACTCCTTCTCACCATTTTCCTTCCAATATTAGAGAAAGATATATCCATTTTCTGTTCAAGCTTACCCTTTGATCTTTAGTCTTGTCCCCATCCCTCTTTGTATTTTGCAGGATTTTGTCAATCAGTGATAATCCTATATTTTGACCATAATTGGAATGCTGGTGTCAGCAGTCAGGATGAAAATATTTGCTCCACTTCAAGATAGATGAGCTGGATATTATCTGCTACTCAGCACACATTCCTACCCCTTTTATGTTTCTCCCCCAAAACATAAAGGCTAAAAACTACATTTCCCAGACCCTTTTGCAGCTAGGAAACAATGTGGGTTCCAATACATTTTCACTGCTGCCAACAAGGTTTGGAAGGCTTAAATTAGGAAGAGGGTATCTTCTTGGGGCCTGGTGGCCAGCAGGCAGTTCTAAAGATGTGTTGTGGCTTCTGTACTCCGCATTCCATCATGTCTACTCACAGCTTTGTGGGTGAAAGGCTGTACTAGCAGCAGCAGTAGCTTCCTAACATGTGGATCCCAACTGCAGTGACATGACCTTGAAGCCATTAGTCCAGTGGCTGCTCCTGACTTCCCCTTGACTTCTGCTTCTCTAGCCCAGTGGTTTTGTAGACACCTAATTACTTTTCTGCCTGACATACCTTCAGTGGTTTGTTTCTTGCTCTGAACCAGTAGATATAACATTGCACTTCATATGTGCTAGGCACTGTACTAAGTCATTTACATGGTTAAGCTCAAGTAAGCCTAACAACAACCCTATGAGGTATTCACTGTTGTCTCCATCTTACGAATGGACAGAGACACAGAGATGTTGAACAACATGCTAGTACATGGTGGAGCTGGTGTTTGAAACCCTGGTCTGTCTGCCTCTAGGATACATGCTCTGTCTACCACATTTCCTCCTCTGCATTTGGCACCTGGTAACTAAAGCTCCTACCTCAAACATCCACCCTCATGAAGTCACCACTAAGCTCTTAATTCCAGGAAATGCTTTTCAATACCCATCTTGACCTCTCTGCAGTATTTGCCCCTTGTCTTCTTGATAAATCTCTCCCTTCTTTGGTTTTCATGATCCTGCACTGTCTTTGCATTCATTCAATCATCCCAGTCTCCTTTGCTGGACGTGCCTCCTTTGCCTGTCCCCCGGACATTGCTGATCCTCAACACTCTTTTCCTTGTCTCTTCCATTCTACAGCCTCTTCCTGGACAACCTTGTCTACTCCTATAACTTCATTTATCAAAATGCAAATGAGGCCAGGTGCGGTGACTCACTCCTCTAATCCTAGCACTCTGGGATGCCGGGGTGGGAGGATTGCTTGAGCTCAGGAATTTGAGACCAGCCTGAGCAAGAGCCGGATGCCCGTCTCTATGAAAAATAAAAAAATAGTCCGGCATAGTAGCTTGTGCCTGTAGTCCCAGCTACATGGGAGGCTGAGGCAGGAGGATCGCTTGAGCCCAGGAGTTTGAGGTTGCAGTGAGCTACGATGACACCACTGCTCTCTAGCCCAGGCGACAGAGCGAGACCCTGTCTCAAAAAAAAAAAAAAAATTACAAATGCCTCCCATGTTCATGTTTTTCCATTCTGACTTTTCTCCTGAGCTCCAGACCCATGGATGCAGTTACCTTCTGGACATCTTGGCTTGGATGTCCTACAGCACCCCAAACTCAACTAGTTCAAAACCTCATCTCTGTTCCCAAACCTCCTCCAATGTTTCCCATCCCAGTGGACAGCACCCATGGCCACTTAGTTGCCCTAGCCAGAAACATGGGCACTATCCTTCATTCCATATTCTCCCTCAGCCCTTTATAAGTTTATGTATTAACCCTTTATAATTCTAGTCATTAAGTCTTACTATTTTAAGTCTACCGTATCCCCTGAATTCCTCCTCTCCATCCTCATGGCCATTGCCTAATTTTGGCACTTATCTCTCCTTTGGCATCTTCTTGCTTCTTATGTGGTCCTTACCCTGCTGCAGCATTTACACTGGGCTTGGAATGTTTGCACGCCTGTTTTGCAAAAGACTGTAAGCAACTTGATCCAGGGACTGAATCATATTTATCTCTGTATATTCCAAATTCATGACACAAAACCTTTAACCTCAATCAGTGTTGGATGAGTGGGTGGATGGATGAGAAAACACTTTAACTCCCTCATAGTAGAAATGTGAATCAAATCTAAGATGTGTTACAGATTGCATGTTAGACCCCAGAGAAGTTTACAGTCAGAGAGGTACAAAAGATAGGAGTAGGTTTGTTACCAAAAATTATTGGACTTTAAGTGGGATTACATTAGCAAAAAAAATCCCCATGTGAACTTATAGATAACTAGTGTAACTCCAAGAAGGAGGAATGGAAAAAATAACTATACACAAATATATATATAAACTGGTTTTCCTGAGAGTTGCTGGATTGCCTATAAAGTTGCTCAGAGGAGTGTGGTATGGGAGGGGTAGGTTTGTGTGCTGATGTCCCTTAGATTGAGAATGAATGACTACAGTCGTTTAAAGAAACCTTCCTAAATATAGAACTGCTAAAGCCTACTGAAAAATTTGGCAACCCCAGTCCCCAGTGGTTAACTGTTTTTGACAGTGAACTATAAAAAAGGGTCTTTGCTACATACAGATCTACTCTAATAGTATGCATATATCCTTCCATAAGTGAACCTTGCTTTTTCTTTCTTTTTTTGCTTTCACTTTGCCTCACATTGGGTGTGGTCTTTGGTTTACTGCATGGGCAAGGCCTCTCATGTGTACCTGGGTTGCCAGGCATTGTCTTTGGTCTCAGAGGTTTCAACCATTTTAAGATGGCATCCGGGGGTGTCATGGCTCATGCCTGTAATCTTAGCACTCTGGGAGACCAAGGAGGGAGGATTGCTTGAGGTCAGGAGTTTGAGACCAGCCTGAGAAAGAGCAAGACCCCATCTCTACAAAAAATAGAAAAATTAGCCAGGTGTGGTGGCACACGCCTGTAGTCCCAGCTACTTGGGAGCCTAAGGCAAGAGGATTGCTTGAGCCCAGGAGTTTGAGGTTGCTGTGAGCTAGGCTGATGCCATGGCACTCTAGCCTGGGTGACCGAGCGAGACTCTGTTTCAAAAAAAAAAGGGCATCCTGTCCACTTGCACCATTGGATGAAGATGGGCGTGCTGGGAACCACATAGTGACCCACTTTAATGCTTTTCATATGATGATATGCTCCATAGAGCAGACTCTTCTGGGGACTTTGTGTGGACAATCTCATTGAATCTTCATAAACTCTGCACAACAGGTATTCTTATTATTCCCACTTTACAGATGAGAACACTGAGGCATAGAGGAAGTGAAATGACTTGTCTATGATTATAAAGTTGGCTAATAGTGGAGACTAGATTAAGACTATGTCTGTCTGACTACAGATTTAACCACTACACTACAAGGAGTATTTCTAGTTTTGTTTTTTTGTACAAAGGGGATGTGGTTCACAGAGAAAAGAAAGATAAAAATCATACTTAGTTCCATGTTTCTGTGTCTCAAAATACTTCAGACTGCTTTAAAAGCCTAAGCCAGTGTAACTCCCAACACAGTGGCATTAAACCCTGTGAACATAGTAGCATATAGTGCAAAATGAGTTCTCTCCTGAAGCCCAAGCATCTACATGTTGTTTCCCTTTAAGTGGGGGTGCCCCTGTATTGACAGCTTGCTAGAGCACATTGTTTGCATTCTGTAGTCATTTGCTTCCTATCAAGTAACAGAGACAGTAATATTTTATCCTTCATTCATTTGTCTTTATCTGGAAATAAAAATTATTGGGTATTTCAAACATTCCTCCTTTCCTTAGACAGAATGCAGAAGTGACATGTTTATAAAAATGGAACTAAATTAGATAATTTATAACCAGACTATTACAGATAGATCAGAAAAGTGCTCGAATCTTTATCATTTATTGAAACAACTTTAAAAATGTTCAAGTGAAGCTTGGAGCAAATATCATGTACTATTTTATAAACTATTGATAAATGTAGTATAATAAAAACATATTATCTATCTTTATCTACAGTATAATCTTCAGTCATTCTCTATTCCATGAATGCATTTTTATCATCTAGAGATTTTTGACATAATAAAGATCTTTTCAGTATTGCAAATTTTTGCTTCAACCAACACACAGAATTCTCTCATGGACTATTGAGTTATAAGCAGCTACATTTATTCATTCATCTATTCCTTCATGCAATGAACAAAGGGCCAATTCTATGCCAGGCCCAGTGGTAGACACTGAAGTTACTATAGTGAATAGGACAAGGTCTTGGTCCTCAAGAAACTCACAGCATAGTAGGGAAAACCTCAACCGTAAGTGCTGTGAAGCACTTGCTAAATACAGGGTGCAGTGGGAGAAGGGAACGGGTCACATAAGAAGAGAAAACAGCATGCCTGGGGCCTAAGGCAGGAAAGCATTTGAAACTTTGCTGAGAGGAACTGAGAGCTAGAATTTAAGAGACTGAGAGAGGGATTGGCAGGAGATGAAATAAGTTAATTATTTTGGTCTTTATTCTAAGGTCCATAAGAAACAGGAGAGTGGTGAAATCAGAATTGTGTTTAAGAATTCCACTCTGGCTGTGCATGGAGAACCGATGGAAGAAAACAAGACAGGAGACAGGGAGTCTAGGAAGAGAGATGATGGCAATCTGGACTAGGATACTAGCAGTAGAGAGAGAAAGAAGTAGATTAATTTAAGAGTTAAGAGATAGGCTTGATGGGTATCGGCTGGTGGGATTGGACATGGGCAGTGAAGATAGTGAGAAGTCAAGCCAAGTTTCTGGCCTGGGAAACAGGGTAGGTGAGGACACCATTGACTGGGAAGGGAAACACTAAAAATAGATCCCATCATTGTGGAACAAGATTAAGAACTAACTCCATTGGGATGCATTGGGTTTGAGAACAAGGCCCGCCATTTGGAGATGCAGGCAAACTCTAGGGGACAGGTGATAATTAAAGGCATGGCATTAGTAGCATGAAGTAGCTACAAGGTTAAAACCATGAGCCCACGGGAGACAGCCCATAGCGAGCATGTAGGACAGCAGTAGAAAGAGTAAAGGATCTGGAGTCCTTGGAAGGACAAGTTGACATCATGAGGAAGCAGCCTGAGAGGGTGAAGGCAGTTGGCTATTGTGAGGTTGAAGCTTAGGGGAGAGGTCTGCACTGGAGCTATAAGAGGTGGCATTTAGAGGGCAGTAGAAACCACGGGGAAGAGATAGCCTAGAAAATGTAGAGTATTTTTTTATTAATAGCATCACTTCTGGTAACAGATATGGTTTGCAATTTGGTTACTAGAGGTAGAAATAATCTGGAAGATGATGATTTTTAAAGAAGTAGGCAAAGTGAAATGCAGGTACAATGTTTAACCCAAAAGAGGGCATGAGTATGGGAAGATTATAAAAAATTTGCCCAGGTGGACATAGATTCCCTTCTGATGAACCCTACTAAAGGGGTGATGACTCTTGCCCATCCCATTGTCTCACCCAGGAAAGTGGGCACTCAGCCACTGTAAGGAAGGGAGGGCCATGGCCTGTGTATTGTACCTCTCTCTCTTGATGGGCCTGGGATCCTGGCCTTCCAAAGGGAGGCCCACACCTGTGACAATATCATGTCTTCTCAGCTGCCATGGCCACTGCCCCACTTCCTTCAAGTGTCCCACACAGATGTTAACATTGCAGAAGGATCTTTGCTTCTGGAGGACAAGATAACAGTGTGGACATATCCCTAGTGAGTCCCTGAATCAACCAATGTCATCCCTGCTTGCACTAAAGTTCTCTCATTGGAGAAAGTACACAGCCAAGCATGTTTGTCTGGCATGATTTCAGCTTTGTGTTGGATGTGCATGCTCCAAGGTCTTCAGAGTCACTCAGCTAAGAAAGGACCGTGCTATCCACGGGACTGAAGAGCAAGGACAGTGGCCAGGAGCTGGCCTCAGCCTTTCTCACTCTCCTTTCTTATCTCTACAGTAATATTTTCTTTTGGATGAACATGTGGTGTTTGTCTTAAGCAAAGCACTCTACCAGTAAAGATGAAGGTGCCACTCCGGGTTTCTTACCTGAATAATTCCTCTATTGGAGGTGACAAGAAATGGCTCCATTGGCTTCCATGGAAGACTGTGGGGCCAATACTTTCCCTAAAGTTGTCCCAGCTCCATTTCCTCTTGCCTAAGGTGGAACCACCTAGACAGCTATTAAAAAGATACACTACTGCTTCTTACTGAAGCTCCCCACCTCCCTGCCACACTTAGCTGTGATTAACCAAGAAAAAAAAATCTCTTCTATCTCCTGCAACCTTTTCAGAGCAAGCTGGAAATAAAGACTTAGATTGTTTTGCACGGAACAGGCTAACACGCCATCCATCAAAGACTATCTCAGACTTCTGGAAAGTGTGCAGTCGCCAAGACATTTTGCGGTGTAAGTAGCTTGAGAACCAAGTTTATGAAAACATCACAAAGGTTGGGAAAATTCCCTCCAAGTGCTTCTTCTTGGCACAACCTGGTTGAGGGCCTCAGGTATTAAACTATGACAATAATGTTAAGGGATCTTTATTATTCAAAAAATAAATAAGAAGATAATTACAAGTTCATTCTGGAAACAATAGAGACTGCAGGTAGATACAATAGACTTCTTTTAAATCCAGTCATTTTTTGATGAGGAGTGGGCAGGCTTGGGCTGTCCCCCCCCATCTACAGTGGGACAAAGTGGAAAGAAAATAACTGGTTAGCAATGGCCTGACTCTGTGTGTGTGTGTGTGTGTGTGTGTGTGTGCGTGTGTGTGTGTGTGTGAGAGAGAGAGAGAGAGAGAGAGAGAGAGAGAGAGAGAGAGACTGAAAAAGAGAGATTGGGAGAGAGAGATTGAGAGGAGTGAAATTGAGAGGAGCGAAATTGAGAGCGAGAGAGAGAAAGAGAGAGAGAGAGACTGAAAGAGAGATGGAGAGGAATTGAAAGAGAATGAATGACTGTCAGGGTGGGTGGCGGGGGCAGGGTTTTCAGTTCTCCACTGCACTACACGATCTAGAGCCTGGCCCCTCCTTCAGAGCCGCAGGAGCCCAGAGTCAACCCTAACTGAATGTGAGCTGAGCCTGCCCATTTCCCTTCTGCATCCTCACTGATAAATCAAATATATTGTCCCCTGAAAGGCACTGCATGCAAAGAAACAAAACCTAACTTGACTAATATCTGCTGTTTACTCAGAATTCAGTCCGTGCATAATGGCCTTGTGTTTTCACAGGACTCTGTGGACGTCTGCATCAGTGGGGTTGCTGCTTCAGAATATAAGCTCTTAGGGAGCAGGGCCCGTTTTGGTTTCCCTGTAATTCCCTTATTACGGCCCTACATGCCCTGGGTGTATAATAAATAGTTCTCCATGAGGAGGATCCTAGGGTTATAAATAGGCAGTTCAGCAGGGGGTGGTGTTAACTGCTGCGCTGCAAGGTTATACTGTTCAGAGTTTGAGTAGGCCAAAGGACGTGAAGCCAGTTCCGTGGCTCACTTGGCTTGGATCAGTCACATTGACAAACACCGAAGCACCCGCTTGCAATTCAAACACTCCTCCCAAGTGGATGGATTGCTGCCTACAAGGTTTGGAGGAACTGTGGGTATTTGCCGCTCTGAGTAAGATTCTCTCAGATCCACCCATGGACCTCAGGCAGAGGCTGGCTATAAATGGAGCTTGACTCGAAGCTTCCTGGTTGGAGCAGAAGGTGACTTGGGCATAGATGTAATAGAGTCCTTGTCTTTTAACGGTGAGCTGTTTCCCATTTTCGAGAGTTACCAAGTTGTTGCTCATGGTGTAGTATCCTTTTTCAGCCCACTGTAGAACTGTTACAAAGAGGAGAAAAATTGATGGCGATATGAAACACAGAGTGGCTCACATTCTAACAGAAAATGTAGCTTAATGTTAGATACTGCCTTTGTATAGGAATGCATCCCCACAGCCCCCTCCAGCCCTCAGAGTCTACGCAGGAGTTATGGCTAACAAATCAGCATGGGCTTCAGAGTCACACGGAGTGGGTTCCAACCCAGGCTTTATCCAAGCTTGGGCAAGTCACTTAATCTCCCTGAGCTCCAGTTCCTCATCTGCAACCTGGGGCTAATATTAGAGTGTATTTCAAAGACTTGTGAAGATTAAACAAAGTAACACATCACAGTGAGTTTCCTTCTCTCTTCAGGGTTCTTAAAGCCAATTTGCCCTTGAACTTAACGTTGCAAATGACTTCAAAATTCCGTATGATCAATTATGCATACCAAATCATTCAGACAAAATCCCTGCTAATATTAACATGGATACCTTGCTTGCTTTGAATTTTACAAAGTCAAAGAGTTGTCAGTCGACCGAGCTCAGCCTCAGCAGAAAAAAGACCCCAGTTGTTCCTACCTAATCACGCTGTTGCAAACCCGACCTGCCTCCCACAGCAAGGACTAAAATTAGGCAAGGAAGTATGAAAATAAACTGTGTGTTCACTTCGCTGTGTGTTTTGATCTCCCATTGTAGTGGGCGCCACCAACTCGAAAGTACCTGTATTCTTGTGGCTAAGCGGAGTACCCACCAACAGTGTGCCATTTTCTCGGCTGAGATGTTGAGTGGGTTCAAAGTAGTGTGTGCGCCCGATTTCAAATCTCAGCTCCCACAGAGAGTTAGGCGGAGTGATGGGGGAAAAGTGAAAGTAGTGAGGAGCTTTTAAAAAATAATTCCTATTTGGTGGTCTTAGGCCTATCAGGGCACAAGATCCCACCCGCTAAGACTCATCCTTTAGTAATAGGGAGGCATCCCCAAATGCCTGGCATATCTGGGCCCTCTAGGCCATTCCAGAAATAACACTTCATTATATTTCCCTTTTGGACCATTTGAGAAAAAAAAAGGCAATTTCTCTATCTTTTAGTCCACTAAATTTACTTTGGTATTTCTTTACCTATTTTAGTCCTTGCTGTGGGATGTAAGGCAAGTTTGGAGCAGCATGGCCAAGTACAAATAAGAGGTTTGGGACTGGAGTGTGGGAGGAATGTTACTGTCTTCCCACCTGGTCCCCTGCAGACCTATTGTAATGCAGACTGGTAAGATATTGTAGGATCGATACCAGTCATGAGCCTTTTGGGAGAATGAAATATATCCAAGGGCAAGGATTTAGATATGGATGGACAAAGACCAGTGGGAAGCTATTCTTCTAGGAGGTTTCTCTGTTGCTGTCATCCAATCCAAAAGAGAGAAGGTGTCATGTGGATGGCCACCCCGGACACAGCAATATAGTTGTGATGTTCTCCCATAAGTATATTTTCTGGGAAATAGGTACTTGACAGAATTATTAAATATTGTGGGAATAACCTATATTAATGAGGGACTTTATATGTCTCTTTTGACATCTAAACCACAGTGCAGTAGACAAAGTAGTAGCACCTTGCATTCGTATAGCACTTGATGGCATAACTTTCTGCCACATTGGCTGATTTGATACTCAAAGCCACCCTGTGGAGTAAGTGAGGTAGGAAACTGCTGTGTAGGTAAAGGGACTTGCCCAAGGTCGCCCAGCAAGTAGTGATCATAATTCTTGAACCCCAGTGTTCCTACCCACTGTTCTATTCCCACACCATGATCCATGATAACCGTGCATATGTTGTACCCACTGAGAAGCCCAAGCCACCTCAGGGATAGGATAGACGGTGTCTTTCTCCTCTCTCTCTCTCTCTCTCTCTCCCCCTCCCTCCTCTGTGTGTGTGTCTGTTTGTGTGTGTGTAGTTCTAAACACTCACACACACTGTTTAGAACTCCATTCCAGAGCACTCTGCTGAATTTTTCAAAGACTGCTCTGATGCTCTTGCCTTCGTGGTGATGGGGAACTTTATGCTAGTGTGCATGTTTCCATCCATTTATCAGATGCGACACGTTCTCCAGCACCAGCTATCACAAGGTGCAAATTTGGGAAAAAAAATCTAAGGGCTAGAATGGTAGCAGAACGTTTATGGAAATAAAATCGTTCAAAGTTGAAAAGATCACAGCGTATCGTCTGTTGTTACTTCATTGGAAAATCTAACGTCTTGGCACCTATTGATCTTTACAGAATGATTTTACCTTTAATTTCCCTGAGGTTGGCCCCAGTGAGGCTGGGCTTAATCATACAGGGATTGACAGATGGCAGGAAGTACCCCTTGAGGCCCATTTCCACACAGCAAAGAGGGGTGAGGAGAAGGGATGCTCCCAGTCACAAGGTCACTACCTGCCATCTCTTCCATGTTGTCAGAATAATAGTCTCTCCACCCAGTAATTCATCATTTAAAATCAGCCATTGAGCAAGAACATAATGAGAACATCAGCATTGCGTCCCACCTCTTTTTGTCCCTCTAAGTCCCATCTGTGCACTTGAGCTCACTTTGAAGACAAAGGAAAGCATATGAGAGCCGTATGGGTAGGTTTGCAAATTGGGCCCCAGAGGAAGACAGGAGCCTAGTCATTAGGCTGCATTGCTTGGGCATCCCAGCCTTCCCCCTTGGGTGGCTAGCACTCAGATGCTATGGGACTTACCAGATGCTGTTTTGCCACTGGCCTCACTTATGACATGTGCTGCAATTTGAGGATTCTGATCACCTGAAATGAAACCAAAACCAAACTGTCATGCCAAAGTAATACAAAATTGCCCACAGAAGTGTTTAGTCAAGTTCTACAAGTGTGTGTACTAGAGACTGTGCTAAGGTAGGTTACATGAAAGGAAGGATGAAATGGTCTGAGATCCCTCCCACTGAAGGACAAGTTGGTTTCTAATATCTTAATAATTGAATTAGCTGTTTCCATTGATCCCATTCTCCTAGGAGTTGATCAATACTGGATTCCATTTTATATAGATTGTCATAGGCTGAAAATACTGGTCTTCATTAAACATACTTTGAATCTTTTTTTAATAACAATTCCTATACATTGGGGTCTCAGTGGGCCCCAAGATTGTATCTGAACACTTAGTAACATGCTTATGGTGTCTGATTTGGTCAAGCAACTGGCCAAGCTATTGTATCTATCTCTAATTGTATCTCATGTAAAAGGATTACTTCTTAATAAGTGCACAGACTATGTGGTAGTTTCTTTTTTTCCAGTTATGAGCCTGGTGTTGGGCACTTTGTAGAAGCCCTATAAATGTTGAGTCAAATTGCATGACCTAAACTATCAGTTTGGTTAAGTTTATCATTTTCTTCAAGACTGCTAGGCAGCATCCACATGAACTATTTCCTCAAATTTCACTGTAATTAACAGGCAGCATGGCATCACTCAACATATCTTGCAGTCATTCTGAAGACAACATCTTCATGGAAGTCAGATGACTCTTTAGCTTTCAGACCAATAATTAAGGCAATCTCTGAGTACTTTCTTTGTCTCAGAAAATAGTATCTATATCTCTGCATGTATATATTTCTTTTGTGTATTAGAATTGCAGAAGTCATAGCATCAAGTTCACCACCTTTGTGACATAATATTCTCTCTAACAACACCCCCTCCTTCCCCTACTCATTATTGTGTTGGGTAGGGTGCCATACTCTAAAAGGAACAGGGAAACATTAGTGTGTCTGGAAAAGGAGGTAACTGGGAGAGAAAAAGGCCTGGGAAGGGTCGTAGGAGAAACAGTGGAAGACATTGGTGATCTTCATCCTAAAGAAGAGAAAGCTCAATCAAGGTTCAGGGGCCATAGTTGCTGTCTTCCATATCTGGACCACTACTGTGTATGAAAGGAATTACACTTTGTTTAGTATGGCTCTGAAGAGCAGAACTGGGACTAGTGAGTGGAGATTACAGGAACAAATTTTGATTCAAGAGGAGGAAAGACTTCTCTTGAGTAGTATAGTAATCTTACTGGAATTGTTAGAGCCATTCAAAGATGGACCAGGTTGCCTTATGAGGTAGAAGGTGCCTCATCCCTAGACGTTTGATCAGAAGCCCGATAGTCAGTTCTGTTGTGAAGGAGATTCATGTTCTGGAGATGGTGTTCTGGATTTGAGAACCATCAAGGTCCCTTCCAACCCTGAGATGTTCAAGATGCTTTAACGTCAAGAATCGGCAAAGAGTAGAACACTGTCATACTGTCACTCCTCGATCCCAGAGGCTCCACCAGCCACTGTCCCCCATGAAAAACTGTTATCATTGAGTGATGAACACCACCGCTACCAAATGATGGCTTTCCTGTCATCTCATCCTCCGTAGGTGGTAACAGGCCGCATGGTTGCTTGGATTAAGGTATTGAACATAATGAGATTTCTTCAGACTTGGTATTGTCAGCATGAAAGGAACATAGTCTTCCCCACAAATATGTACATACAAAGCCTTTCCAAACCACAGCGACCAGAGAAGGTGTCAATGTGACAATTGTGTCCCTGTTTTATTTCCAGGGCTAAAAGTTCCGTGATTCAACACTGGATTGTTCAATATGGTCAGTCTTTAGACTTCCTTTTAGTTTTTAAGCATTCATAGAAATTGGTATATAGCAACCTACCTTTTTGCATTTCATAGCTGTTTTCTTTCTTCTTCTCTTTGTTTAGGATTATTTCCTGAAAGAAGAATCATTACAAAAGGTCATTTTGACAGGGGCTCTGCTGTGGGGTTGTAAAGGTATCATTCATTTGGCATCTGTCATTACTCTGTTGCCTATTTCTGGTGAGGATTATCATATAGACTCAGATCCTGTCATTAATTCCATCATACCGATTGGGAGCCCATGGCTCTGACAGATGAGGCGACAGCCCAGAACGCCCAGGGGAGAATCTGGAAGCAAAATCCAGGCCTTATTATCTCCATTCCAGCGCTCTCTCCAGACCAGAGGCTGCGATACTGACCCATCCTATGACCCTGACCTCCCTGGCTTTGACAGGTATTGACAAATAATGTTGAATGGTAAGATGATCCCTCCCTGGGAACTGGTATAGGGGATATTATTCAACATAAAGCATGATGCGTATCTATTAGAATAAAATTGTTCTGAAGTCTTGTAGGAAAAGGTAATAGTAAGTTTGACCTTGGGAGAGAAACCACAGACTATGAAAAGACCCTCAGACATTTTTAATTTTGTTTTCCCTTTCAATGGATGGAAGAGATTCTCTTGTTGATGGTTGCTTTGTATGGCCTGAATTTATTTAGAATAATCAGCATTTAGGAAACATATCTCCCAATGCTGCTGATGTTCAAAGGCAAATGTGACACTTCTTAAAAGATTTATTTTCACTTATAAACTGAAGGAAGGCTAGAGGTACTTAAAGAAGCTAACAGGAACTTCCATCAACGCAGGTTGGAAGATAATAAAAGCCATTGCTGCCATTTTAAAGAGACTGAACAAAAGGCATGGAGGGCTTAAGTGGACAGTATGAGGTCACCCAAAGAGGCTGAGGCTTAAACTAAGAGAAGCAACTGTGAGATCACATTCACAGGCTGGGTTCAGCTCATTCCATTTCTCTGTCTTCAGAACACAAAGGAGTAAGACAGTAGCATTTTTACATCTTTTGATAATCAAAGCCCTGTGTTCCTTCTCACTCCCCAAATTGATTGTCTATAGGACCCTTCCTTTGCCTTCCTCCCCACAAAGGATTTGTTTGTCACTGTTGAGTGTCTTGCTGTAGGCTCAGCTCAGTCACCAGATGTGAGGGTGTAGGTCACAGAGCCCCAAGGGGAACCTGAGCCTCGGAACTCTCACATGGGCCTCAGAGCTACAACTTTCCATTTGAGCTAAGGTGCGGCACTATGAAGACGCAGTGACAGGAAAATGTTTGTGAGATCACAAGTAAACAAATGACTATTTAGTGTCTCTTCAAAAACTGGAGTGTGATGATTGAGGTTGAGATACTATTAGGCTAGGTGGCTTCATTGGTGTCATAGCCTGGCCAAGATGAAAATGTAAAGTCAGCAAAGCGTGTCTTTTATGAGTCCAGCCTTGCCTTTCTGTGAACTTTCCCCCAGCTACACTCCCCGGAGCCTTTTTTATTTTTCTTGCTTCACTCCCCATATCAACTGAAATACTTACTCAAATAAACTTTCAGAAAATCTGGGATTGATTATTTCTCTTTTAGTAGGAACTCTATGTGGCAGGTATGGACAGATAACCCTTTATCTCCAAAAAGGAAATGTGTTGACCCTCTCAAAGGCATCTCAGGCATCGGCGGGCAGATAATCCTGCAACTGATCATTCCAGCAGGAGATAGGGTGGCTAGTAAGTTTTAATGTGAAATTACACCATTCAAAATGATGCCTCCATTTACTCTGACATGAGCCTGAATCCCGTCTTCCCCCCATAGTGACAGCTTAGTTCTTCCTGCCTCAGAAGATAATGGGATCCTTGTCACTAGAGGTGTTCGAACAGAGATTGGATGGCCACTTAGTAGGGATGGTCTGGATTGAGAATTGGATCTGATGACTTCTAAGACCCCGTCAAGCCCTATGATTCAAAGGCTTCAAATTCAAACTTGAAGTTGCTCTGGACTAGGCAGCCTATGGCCCAGAAAGAAAGCCTGCTAACATTAGCTGAGAAAATACAAATCCAATCTGGGGCTTTCCAGTTGTTGGCTTATCGGGTTAAAAAAAAAGTCTAAAATATTGTTTTAGAGTGAGAAATTCCAGAAAATGGGTATTGAAAAGGGGGTCAGTCATTGGAGGAGGATTGAGTGGCTAGAGGACTTTGTACCTAACCATTGTTCATATTCTAGGTACAGATGGCATTGAGTAAGATTCCGCATCTGCTGCAGTAGAAGCAAGGGGTCTCCTTAGTCATATGAAAGGAGGAGATCCCTAGGGCCCCAGCTGACATGCCTGAGGAGGTCTACCCTTTTAGAATATGAAACTTTGGAGCTGTCACTTTTTTCATACAAGCATAAGCAAGGAGGCCAAACTGACCATTTTCCTTACTCCTACCCTGGGTTGCTGATTTTGGAAGCTTTACGTATCCAACCTGAAATAAAGACTCGAGAAATTGGCAGTTCAATTGTAAAACTCTCAGTAAGAAAGAGAGGGAGGGAAAAAACCAAGAAGCCGCTCTCACTACCACTGGAGGACACTGAAGGCTGATCACATAGTTACAGAATATCAGAGCTGCCCTTACAGATAATCTCAGTCCTCTCATGTTACAGATGAGAAAACTGAGGCCCAGAGAGGTGAAGTCATTTGCTGAAGGTCACACAGCCAAGCACATTCAATATGCTGTTTGGATTATTAACTATTGATTTGAAAGTGCCTTTATTCACATTTAAATTTGTAACACCTTCCAAAACCCTGTAACACCAGCCAGAATCCTCCAAGAACCTGAGAAACTCAAATCATTTCCCAAGCTGGCCAGTCTTGCAAATAATGGGTTAGGAGTTTCAACTGAAACCTAGATTAGTGCAAAGAAGCTGAAAGCCAGCAGTGGATTTGAACTGCATTCTGATCCCTATAGGTGACTGAGAAATACACTGTTAGAATCTTCACTAGTGGATTAAATAACACATGAGTGACAGTACAGGACGACAAGAATAAGCTCCAAAATAAGCTCTTAAGCCCTTTAACGTCTGCATTAAATTACACATCATCTACTTGTGAGAACTAATTCCTATTGGTTTATCCAGATCCCCAACTACCTGGCACAGAGCTGACCTCAATGTGGAATGCTGCCTCCTAGACACCACCCCCACCTGCGCTGAGGGCCGAGGGTATTTGGCTCAGTGTTCTGAGAGGGAAATGGGTAGAAAGAATTCTCGATGTTCTGGAAGAGCCCATAGACCTCATGTCTGTGATGACAGAATTAATGCAAAGGTTCTAAAAATTCTTGTTTTAGGTACCCATTGTACCTGCAGTGACTTCATGCTGGCTACCAGCCTGGTGGGCTAGAAGGCTTCAAACCCTTCCTGCTTCTGGTCATGACTGGCGCTAGAGTGGACTGGCTTCATGAGCAAGTGATATTATACGGGGTCTGGTTTGAGCGGTACTGAGAATGTCCGTTATCTATACCCTGTACCTCTCTCCACAGTAAAAGGGAAAGATCTCACTTTCAGGGCACCTGAAATCCCATTATCAGAGAAGCACAGGAGACTGTGATCAGTCTGCAGGAGACCATTCACTGTGGCCTGCCAGCACAGCAGCTGCCAATGGCCATGGCTTCCCTGGGAAGTGGGGATCAGACCATGGATCTACAGTGGGAAGGCATCGAGGTTTGGATGGGGAGATACAAAATGCAAAAAGCAAACTGGGTATACTTCATAATTTTGCCCAGTGGTTGCTGCATATGTGAGCTCACACGTGTGAATGTGCCCACGAGAGTGTGTATTTTCCCCCAGATAGGGCCTTTTTTCTTCTTCTCAAGTGGGAATGTGCACATTTCCAACTTTCTTTTCCCTTCTCAACATAGGATTTTGGCTTCTTTTTTGCTTTTTTTGATTCGCACATTCATACACACCTCCCAAACCCATGCATGTAAGTATGCCTGTATTCACGTTTATATACATATATGTATGCATATGTGTATGCGCATAATCAATGTTTAAACTTTTACATTGCCGAGTTTCGGTTTCCCAACCTAGCCAATGTAGTAAAACATTTCAACAACAATTTTACCAACAACTAAGCTCCTTACCTTGACGAAGCCTTCAAACTGGCTTCTAATCTCCTCACAGTTCAGCAAGGATAAGGACCCTTCTCCTTTGTTGCATCTCTGTATTGTTTTCATGAATACAAAATCCTCATGAAGACTCCTTTCATCTTCTATCTGTTTTGAAATAACAGGAATATGAGAAATGTCATTCCAAAGGACAATGCAGCTAATGACATCGGCCTCCACATTCACTTCCACAGTGTCAATAACAAGAGGGCTTTGGGGGCATAAATGGGGAATAATGAGTCGTTATACTGATGTATTGCTATTTGGTATTTGCAGTTTAAAAAAATCTATAAAAGCTGGCAATTAAGATGTCATCTGTGAAATTCTAGGTAGAAATCACGGCTATTCTAATAAGCTTTCATCACAAAATGTACATTTTCAAACATAATTTTTAGCAATATTCTATAATTGTCATATTTCCCATTGCTCCAGTAATGATTGGTCATTATAAACATCAGCCTATAAAATAGTTTTCTGCTGAGCTAATTTGCCCACTTCATTATAATGTTTGCGATGCAGTGCTTTTAAAAACAGAAGTTAATTTGCAATGTGTGTCAATTAACTTGAGTTCTAATTACATCTCTCTCCCTTTTTTACTTTAGTATTTGTAGAAAACATTTGCATTTTAAAGACATCATCTTTCATCCCCAGAGTTAACCAGATATTTTATTTTCCCTTGTCTTAGAATAATTAAATGTATGCCTCACTCACATTATTAACTAATTCTGTACCATTTTCTTGTTTTAACAGTAGATTTTTTAGATTCGAAACGGGATCCAGTTAGCCGGCGGCTTTTGCTGTCATTAAGACCACACCTAAATACAATGGTAAATTTGAGTCTACTTAGGTCACTATTTCCCCTTTAGAGGCTAGGCCTATGTCCAGGCATTTGATTGACAGAGCACACCATGCCAAACACAAACAAACAAGCAACCTGACCAGAAGCCCCCTCTTTTATCGGCAGTAAAACTAAAATTTGGGTAACCCAGTGGATCGCTTCAACCTTCACTGGCTCACCTTATCCTCACAGAAAACAGACCTTAATTCTAGGTCCGCATCCCAAGAGAGGACACCCAAGCATCCCTGAGAAAATGAAGCCATCCAGTTGCTGTCCAGCCACAGTTCCCACATTCAGAATTTTAGGAAAAGCCAGATAATTGATCAATTTTCTCCTTTACATCTATCATTGATATTTTGTCAATACAGCCAATAATGCCCCTCAGCAGAAGTGAATAAATACATGGAAACAAAATAAATCCTGATGGTTATTTTTTCCTAAGAATGTAAAAACAACCTACTAAGTTACTCTATTCTTTTGTTCCTGTAAGTCCAACCATTTAAGAACATAAAACATCTCAGAGGGAAACTGAGCATCTTGCAACTACAATCAGTGCTTGAAGAATTATATACTGAACGTCATTTGTCCTAAAAGACTGCAAAATTTGGGACTTATTCATGTGTATGCCAATCTGAAGCACTACGAAATTTCAGATCAAATTTATGCTCTCCTTCTCTAGTTGGTAATTTAAAAGAAAAAAGTTGTCTCCATCAGAAAAAAAAATGGTTTACTTTTTAAGCAAAACGTTAGCAAATCATGATAGCTAACGCCCATGTAGTGCTTACTATGTGCCAGGCACAGTTCTAAGCTCTTTACAAGGCTAAAGTCACTTAATCTATGAGATGGGTACCATTACCATCCCCATTTCTCAAATGTGGAGACTGAGGCATAGAAATATAAAGTAACTTGCCCCATAATTGCCCAGCTGGTAGGAACAGCGCTAAGATTTGAACCCAGGTAGTCTGACTCGAGATCCCAAGATCTTAACCAGAGACAAGAGTATGAGACTTCACTGACTAGACAGCGAACATTATTCCATAAGACCATTCATCTATTTGGGTTTCTGCCATCGTCCATCATTTGGGTAGCACTGAAAAATAAACCAACTCACAAATCAGTAAGAACCCCAAATTTAGTTAATAAAGGCTTGTGTTTCATCTTACCTTGTCCAACCTTCTATGAAGATACACAGCAAAAAATGCTGAGCCAATCATCTGGGTGATAAGAAAAATAGTAAGTAAATACATAAAAATTTTCATGCTGGCGGGCTGTCCAGTAGCCACAGATCGGGGAGAAGGTTGGTTGTATGTTTCGATCATGCTGTGTTGAACTTGAAATGGTATCTTCTGGCCAAGAAGGTGGCAGAGGCAGCATGAGAAGACTGTCAAAGTGGCCGCCTTGCTCAGGATTAGTTAAGAGCACACAATCGTCGCAGCCCACACTTCCTGGAAAATGTGCTTCGTAGTCTTCTCTCCCAGCAAAAAAGTTACGTAAAGGTTTTTTTTTTTTTCTAAGTTATACTCATATCATTCACTTCCAGGCTTTCCTTTTTGTTAGTAAAGAAGAAACAAGTTTCTTCTTCCATACATTCATTCTTGCCTTGAAATGTCATAGACTTCTTAACAGACAATGGCAGTATTTTCCTATCGTTGTCTAACTTTTTGGGTTCACCAGTTTCAAGGAAAGTGACAAATTTATCCACCAGCAACAGACTCATTTCAATTTCAATCTTACTAATATAAAGCGGGAATCTGGTATATGAGGAAAGAAACACATGTCAACAAAAGTTTGGATTGATTTTATGACTGGTGTGGCACTAGCTAATTGCTTCTCAAGACCTGACTTCTTTACTTTTTAAACTCAACGAAATCCTGACAGCTTTTCAGATTAAGTCTACATGGCATAAAGCAAAAAAGAGTGCTGACAGTTATTAAATAAAATTTAGCTGGAAAGATAGTGCAAGAGAAATAAATTTCTCAAAGGCAAAGATAAGTAGGGTCTTGAGGGAAATCAGGCCAAGACTCTGAGATTGAAGTTAAAGTAGGAACATTGGCTTGGCTTAGCCAAGTTGCCTGTGTACACTGTCCTAATCCATCAGATAATTGCTGATGCTGATGTAATGGTTCAGAATAGGGAAAACAGGCTGAAGTTCAGAGACCTGGATTCTAGTCCTCACTCTACCAATAAATTGCTATGGACCTTGGGCAAATCACTTCACCTCTTTAGCCCTGTTTTCTCACACCTGAAGGGGACAGTTGCACCTGTCTCGCTTATGCCTATTCTGTAGGTTGTTGTGAGGATTGAATAAAGACGTGCACAAAAGAGATTTGAAATGTGTTAAGCAATAGACAACTCCCATTCCCAATTTTAGGAACTTGTTTAGCTCAAGGCATGAGTTTTCCAAATAATTGCCAACTCCTTACATACTGGTAAGAAGCAAACAAACAATAACAACATCAAAAATATCTAAAGTTTTGAAGGAATTGAAGGAAGGAATTGAATCATTGAGGTGTGTAGGAGTACACATTTCTGAATGGCCTTTGAATCATCTTATCAGATTGTCTTCAGACTAAAAGCAGCTGTGGAAATCCCTACCCCACATCCCAACCTGGTCTGAAAACCATGATAAAACTGCTTTGGTGATTCCTATAAAATTGTTTTGAGAGACAAATGGGAAATGTAAAAACTGCTCTGATAGACATGCTGTCTGTATAGCTAGCACCTGCTTTCTTCCCCTCCCACGCCCCAGCATCCTGTCCTGGACCCAGATCTGTGTAGCTTTTCACTACATCTGCCAAGTAGGTGGCTTTAGTGCACGTGATGAACTTTGATCAGTCAAGTCAGAGGCTTTGTTCTTTGACAAGTAACTTTAGTTCCACTGAAGGAAAATTAGCAGAAGAGCCAAAATAGGCTCAAGGACTTCTCCAAGGCCAGTTTCATAAAATTACAGAATGCCAGAGCCACAAAGGCCCTGCGATCAGCTGAGCCAACCCTGGAGGGAGAGGGTGCTCAAGGGACCATGGAGATGCAGACAATGGCAGGATTTGGTCATGTGACCAACTTCAAGAAAGAGTCGTCGTCCAACCTCCCTGCCTCTACTTCTTCATCTCCAGCCTTCCGCAGTCTGGCTTCTGCCCACAGTATTACCCTGACATTGCCCCATTCCATTATTAGCTCAATAATAGTTGTGGCTGATTACTTTTTAGAGTTTATTTTTAGTAACCTCTCTATTATTCTGTTGTCATCTTTCTGAATACTCTTCTCCTTTGAGTTGTATACCACCATTCTCTTACATGCTTCTGCCTCTCACAATCCTTCATGTGATCCTCTTTTCTTTTTGTACTTCTTAAAACTTTGCTATTCCCTCTTCTCACTCTTTCCTCGCTCCTCCCCTCCACTCCCCTCTCTTCTCATTCTTCATGTTTTCCTTGGGTGATTCCCATCCACTTTTATGGTTTTCACTATCATCTTCATGGTGATAAATTTCAAATTTATCATTTAACTGCAGCCTTGAACTTCAGACTTGTAAGTATAGCTACCTCTGAATATCTCTACATGAATATCCCAAAGTTGCCTTATACTTGGCATGCCCCAAATGTAAGTCATCTCCCCACTCTACTTCCATCCCAGGCCTGTTCTCCCTTAAGGGTCTCCCTATCTCAGTGAAAGGTCCCACCACCCACCTAATTGCCCAGGTCAGAGACATGGTAGTCATCCATGATTCCTCCCTCTCTCTTGCCCCAGATTTCTCCCCAATCCCAATGGCTTCTTCTCCCATCCAAGTACTAACCAGGCCCGACCTTGCTTAGCTTCTGAGACCAGACGAGATCGGACACGTTCAGGGTGGTATGGCCGTAGACCCAATGGCTTCTTCTTCCCAAAAGCTTCTTGGTTGCCATTCCCCCTGCCAACATCTTAGTCCAGGCCCACATATTCTCTTTTTTGTAGACTATTGAATTCTTCCATTCTAATTTGTCTCTTTGCTTCCCTTCCTGTCACATTCCATCATCCATCTTCCACACTGCCAGCATAATGCTCATTCTAAATCTTATAAATGACCATATTATCTAATCTGATTTGACCTCGTAAGACTCTGTCCCAGACTCAAGAAAGTATGTTGTCGTCGTGCTCTGGTATGTTCAACATGACTAGGATTGGCTCCAGAATGCATTGCTTGCATATTCAATTCCTGAAACCTCATCTTTCTCCCATCCTTCTGTCTGGTGCTCTAGCTTGATGCTACAATTGGCTGCTTTTCCAGCTTCCAAACTTAAGCTCTGTTTTCTGATTTTTGATTCTGTATCAGAAGTCCTTTGTGTCAGGACCTCCCATACCTGTTGATATGGTTTGGATGTTTGGTCCCTCCAAATCTCATGTTGAAGTTGGATCCCCAGTGTTGGAGGTGGGGCCTGGTGGGAGGTGTTTGGGTCATAGGGGCAGATCCGTCATGAATGGCTTGGTGCCCTCCCCATGATAATGAGTGAGTTCTTGCTTTATTAGTTCATGCAAGAGCTGGTTATTTAAAGGAGACTGGCACCATCTCCTCTCTCTCTTGCTCCCTCACTTGCCATGTGACACACCTGTTCCACTTCACCTTCCACCTTGATTGGAAGCTCTCTGAAGCCCTCACCAGAAGGAGATGCTGGCACCATGCTTCTTGTACAACCTGCAGAACTGTTAGCCAGATAAACCTCTTTTCTTTATAAATTACCCAGCCTCCAGTATTTCCTTTACAGTGATGCAAAACGGACTAACATACCTGTCTTTCCCCAACAAGTAGTGGGCTATCTGTGGTGTTGGGTCCTCTTTTAAAATCTTCTAATTGATCACAACCAGTTACAGATTCCTTTGTTCCTCCTCCACTCCCACTGCTTCACTTGATCAGCCTTTTAAAAACTTAAAAAAACAAATAAAAATAAAAGGAAAAAAAAGAAAAGAAAATCTTCAGCTGCCTAACAGATCCAGAAATGATTATCCACCTTAGTTTCCAAGAAATATGTAGATCCATGGAGTACATGAAAATGCCTGTGGCCAAAATCAAATTCTGGCCATCTTTTTCTTAGTTTACAGAAAGAATTAAATTAATGGATTCAATTGTCTCATTTTTCAGTTATTATTACACAGAATTTTCTTAAATCTCCGTCACCCTTTTCTACTACTGCTTTTCTGCTGGCTAGTGATTGACCTGTAGCAAATAAGTATGAAGGGAAAAAAATTTAAAAAAACAATGGATCATACTCAACAGCTTGTTTTTGATGCAAATATGCTTGTGGTTGTGATTTTATATTGATAACGTAGAACACAGTCATAGTTTCTGCTAGGAAAATTCTTTTCAGTACATTCGAAAGAGTTAAATACATCAGTGGTTTGTTTGTTCTATGAAGGGCTTCACAAGGACTCTTTTCCCCTGAATATATGTCTGGAAAACTCTAGTCTAGAGGAAAGGGTCTCGGTTTTTAGCATGGAAAATGAGCTGACCCCTGCCCACATTTCTCTCTTCATCTTCTACAACTCACTCAGGCTCCACTCTGAGCATCAAGCATATTAAGCTGGTTTTATTTCCTTAAACGTACTACCTTGTTCATGCTGTGCTCTGTGCACAGGCTGATTTGCTCCTCTCATCCGCTAATGTGGAAGTGAAATATCTTGTCCCAGCTGACAAGGTGCCCTCTTCTGTGGTTAGTCTATCATAGCCTTTGCCACACCACATCATAATGGACTTGTCTGATTTTTCTACCATTAGCTCTTAAAGGAAAGAGACAATTTTTTTTTAACTCTCAGAATCCTTGGTTCCTGACACATTGTAAGGAAATAGCAAATATTTGCCAAACTACTAAATCTTCTTTTAAAGAAATAGAAGGGGAAGTTGTAAAACATTCAAACCTGGAAGAATAGCACTGGCCAGCCTCTCTGGTGATACAAATCAGAGTATATTTAAGTTTTCTTCTATTCCTTTAGTTATCTCTCTTTCCTCTGGAGTCAGTTCCATTGGTTTATTTTAGTCCTTTTCTTTCATGTTGACAGTTTCCCTCAAATGTCTGGTGATCCTTAGTTGAGTGGTCATATTTATGAATGAAAAACTGGGTTGGTTATTATGGGCAGATAGCATGAGTTTCCTTTGCCATGTGTTGGTCTGTTTCCCCTGCAAACCTCTGCCCAGAATGGAAGCGCTGACTGTGGGTTCTGTTAAAGTGGGCAGGACCTGTCAACAGTCAGGCTTCCCTTGGGGTTATGTGGGTGGAGAGGCAGGAAGATCAAGGACCCCCACAACAGATGAAGTAAGGAGGACTTTTCTCTAGGGGTGGAGCCCTTTAGAGGGTTTCACTCTTGACTGATACTGGTTTTCCTTTTGTTTTCATCCTCTTATCTGTTGTGGAGATCTCATCACCCTCCAGAGAGCATGAGCACGCCTGAGGCAACTTTAGCCTGAGGGCAAAGGCCAAATGCTGTTGCTAACAGGTGGTCCACTGGGGGAGAGAGAGAGGAGGAAAAAGGTCCCCCCTGTCCCAGCTGTTTCTAGGGCAGGTCTTCGATGTATTACCATAATGATCGCCTCCCAGCCCACCCCTGCTCTTCACGTTCATTGACTCTGAGATTTGTACTTCTTTGCGAAAACATACTCTTCCCTCTAATTCTTTGAACTGCAAAGTTTTCTGCTCTGATTTCTCTATTAGTCCAAATCCATTGCCTTCCTGGCTTCCTGGTATCCTTCAACTAAGGCTATGTCACATTATGTCACACTGGTGTCACCTTTTCTTACTTCCCATGGCTATTGTGGTTTCTTTCTTTTTACATTTATTTTTGACCAAGAAATACATTCACATGGTTAAAAATGTAAAGAGTACAAAAGAGTATGCAAGGCACACATTTTTGTTGTTGTTTTTGAGACAGGGTCTTTCTCCACCACCTGGGCTAAGGTGCAGTGGCACCAACATAGCTCACTGCAACCTCAGACTCTTGGGCTGAAGCAATCCTCCTGCCATGCCTGGTTAATTTTTCTATTTTTTGTAGAGATGGGGACTCGCTCTTCTTCCTCAGGCTGTTCTTGAACTTCTGGACTCAAGGGATCCTCCCACTGCCTTGGCCGCCCAAAGTGCTAGGATTATAGGCGTGAGCCACTGCACCCAGCACAATGCAAAGTCGTCTTCTCACCTCTTCCTCCCAGTCTTCCATTGTCAACCAGTGTTGTCAGTTTCTTATGCATCTTCCAGAGATGCTTTTATGCACATTCAAGAAAATACACAGATATTTTCTCTCGTCCTTTTCACACACAGCAGTGTACAATACATTATTCTGTATCTTTGTTTTTTCATTTAACAATATGTCTTAAAGATTGTCCGATGTCAGCAAAATGCTTCTTTATTCTTTTCTTTTTGCTACCACACAGAAAAATCTTTATTCTTTTTTTAACAACTGTGTAGTATTATACTGTATGAATGATGTACCATGATTTATTTAACTAATCCCCTATTGATAAATATTTAGGTTGTTCCGAGTCATATGATATTAAAAAATGCTGCAATAGATAACTTTGTACTTACTCATTTTTAGAAGTTTTTTTCCCCAGACATTTTCACGGAATCTGGAAGGGCTAAAATTCATACATATTTTAACACTGACCAACTTTTAACCTAAACATAGTACATTCAAAAGATGATTTAAGAGTTATTGTTTATTTTCCATTAGTCAGATCGATGCACAGTAAATTATGTGTGTTATATATCCTTTTCAAAGCCAGAATCACATTTTAAAGCTTCCAATGTAAAGTCCTATCTGGCCTTAAGGATTCTGGTTGCATTACGTGGGATTTTCCATGTGGGTCTGCAGCAGAAAGCCAAAGACGGTGTGATCTCTGGTACCTCCATCCAGAATGCTGCATTTGATGGCTAGACTGGTAAGAAGCAATTTCAGGAGATACTTCTTGAATCAGTTTATTTGTCAAAATCAACATTCACTGAGCGCCTACTGTGAGCCAGGTGCTGAGCTGGACCCTAGAGATACAAAGAAAAAGATGATAGTCCCGCCTTGCCAGGAGCTCCTAGTTCAGAGAAGGTGACCAATACACGAGTAGGCAACCATAAACAATGTGAAAAGTGCCACAGCAGAGGTGAACACAGAGCGCTGTGGGACCATTAAGAGGGTGTGCTAGGAGGGATATCTGGGAAGTCTCCCTAGAAAAAGAAACACCTGTCATAATGTTGCATTTTGACTTGCAGCACTTCACTGACAAATCCCAACATTCCATGTCTGTCCCCTGCCCTTGGCTTTTCGAGTCCAGAATCTTCCACTCTTTTTCATTCTGCGGAAGTCTTCTAGTTGGTTATATTTATTCTGACACTCTAAGGGCTCCAGAGGTGTAATGTAGGAGGGGATTGGGGATAATAATCTCCAGCATAGATGAGTGTGGCTGGAAATGGGGATGTCTGGGGTCTTGGCTTAGTTGTGGGTGTTAGTTTTGATAGCGTGACAAGAATCCTCAATCTCCACTTCTACCAGCTGCCTACCTCCATTCCAGGTGGAAAAGTCACCAAGGTGAACTTTCTTGGCAAATGTCTATGCATTGTTTCTGACTTGTGGGAGCTCTGATCACACTCCCAATTTGTGTAAGAAAAAAGGCTATATTTATTGATGTCTTTAGATAGACAAGAAATGCAGGTAACAGTTGCTACTACTGGGAAGTAAAACTGGGGTGGTGGGCAAGTTTTACTTTTTGTTCTATTTCGCCTGTGCTCTCTGCCTTATTTTTACAATGAACATATTTTATTTGTATAATACTTTATTTTTTGACAAACTGTTTATTGAAGATAACCTTTGCACACAGAAAAGTGCACAAGTCATAAGCTTAATAAATTTTCATAAAGTAAACACACTCTCTGTAATAGTCACCCAGATTGTAGATCTCTCTTAGTATCTCAGAGGACTCACCCCTCCCTTGTCTCCTTCCAATCACCTCCACTTCTCACAAAGGTAACTGCTATTCTGCCTTCTGTCACCAAAGATTAGTTTTGACTGACAGTTCCAGTTGCTCCTTATCCTACTAACACTTGGGATCATCGATAGTATTCATCTTAGTTATTCTAATAGGTCTTTAGTATTATCTCACTGTGGTTTTGATTTGCATTTCCCTAATGGCTAATGATGTTGCTCATCTTTGCATGTGCTCATTTGTCACCTGTATGTCCTCTTTGGTAGTAAGATCTTCCATAAATATGAAACCTAATCTTTTTTTTTTTTTTTTAAATTGCTTGAAAGTAATAACACCGTTGACCTGACTAGGGAATATTCTTTGAGTGTAATAATCCTTCTGTGAGGCGGACTGGTGTGGTGGTGGAAATAGCCAGAATTCGGTAGCAGACATTCTAGACTATTCTATTTGTTATGAGATCTTAGGCAAAACAAATTATTTAAACTTTTTGTGCCTCGGTTGGTTTGTTTATAAAGCAGGGATAATAATATCTCCTGCTTCATAGGGTTGTGCTGAATATTAGATGAGAAAATCCTGTAACACTCCCTGCCCCATGCCTGACACAGTAAATGTTCATCAGCGTTCTCTCTGCGCTTCTGGGAAAGCTTGGAAAGAGGGCAAGGGGGAGATACTGCCCTTGAGGCAGTCAGTGGCTTAGCATCTGAGGGAGAATGAGTGAATGACTCTTTTCTCTGGCTCTAAGGAAAAAACTCCAGAGTTGTGAGTTGTGTCCTAGAGACAGAATTCTGTCCCCTTAGCCCTGTCCCCACCCCTGCCAAATACAGCAGGAGCATCCTGCTTCAAAGGGAATTCTAGAAGAAATTTCTTGTCATAATTGGGCTCTTGGGTGCAGTTACACCCCTTTTATGACTTTTAACACTTACTGCTGTGAGTCTAGCAGAAAAACACAACACCCCCGCCAGCATCTTTTCACCTAATTCCAAAACGTTCCCCCAGCGATGCTTCCTGTGGCAGAACTGCCTGAGGGGCCTTGTGGCTGCCACCAAGTAAACACCCTTTCAACAAATATTTGCCCAGCACTTAGCAAGCACAAAGGCCTCTCATAGGTCTGGGAATCCAAAATGAAAAAGAAAGAACTGCTAGTTAAGGAGACAGAAGAGTCAGGAGTGGCCAATAGTGCACGGGCACACACCACAGGGGAGAAGCACAGGGGGTCTCCAGAGCATGGAGGAGGAGTGAGCATGAAGAGGTAACATCAGAGCCCTGAGGGAATTTTCTGGGTGAGGAAAGAATACATGCCAGGTACAGGGAACAGCACATGGAAGGACCCAGAGGCTGAAGATCAGGGGCTCAGTTTCTTCTTGCTGCTACACAGTTGGGACCACAGCCTTGCTTCAGGCTGTGCACAGCACCCCAGGTTCTCCCAATGAGCCCTTAGGGTGGAACACAGAATATCAGGCCCTTATAGTAAGAAAAAAAAAATTCCTTTCTTCCAGGATGAAGGATCTGAAGGATCGAACATTCTGCAGGTGGTTATATTATTTACACCCATTTTCCTTCAAAAATGAGCCTGACATGATGGAACATTTAAGACTTCTCTGTGTGGTTCTGGCCCATGTTTTACCTCCCTTGCTCCAGTCTCAGCCTGCCTTCTGCATCTCCCCTAGAGCTCCAGAACTCGGGCAGGCTAGCCTCTGGCTCCTATGCCTAGAGACCCCTCACACAGCCTCTCCCTGGGCCTCCTAGTTTACCCCTATGCTAATCCTTCTTCTTGACTTAACTCGTTCAGGGTGGTCTCTCTCTCCAACTTGAAACTGCCATCCTCCAGGCTGCCCTCTTCAGTTCTGACCCCAGGCTCGGGCAGTCTCTCTCTGATCCCTTCTGTGGTCCCTCAGCCCCTCAGGGGACGTTTTTGAAATTAGCCCTTTTTGCTCCTAACTCATCTCCTAGGTATGCTAACCAGAGACTGCCTTCTCAGTGGGGACCTGACTCAGGTGGCCTCTAGCTCTCCCACAGTGTCTCCTGGGGCCAGCCTGACTGTTTCATGAATGGGGAAACTGAGGCTTAGAGAAAGGGAATGACTTACCAAGGTCATGCAGCACGTTAGTGGCAGAGCTGAGACTAGCCCAGGCCTCCTGACTTCCAGCCCAATGCTCTTTTCCAGGAATCAGGCTACCTCTCCCGGGGCTCAGCGTCTTCTAGTCAGCGTCAGCTCCCGCCCACCAACTGCACTGTGCACCCATCTCTGGTAGCACTTCCTTCCTGAGCCACTTCATTAAAACTGAAGCTGGCCCGTCCAGGCTTCTGACTCATCAGCCTAGTGAAGAACATCCAGCCATGTCTGCATATGATTAAGGAAATGCCAGGGCTAGGAAGCACTTTCTTTTGTGGCTAAGCTGGGGACAGTGCAAAAGGAGGTGGAGAGATTCAATGAAATGGGAAGATTTGAATGGAAGGCAATCTCTCAGCACCAGATGTACCACAGGGACCATGGGAATGGAATGGGAAGAGGAAGGGCCATATCAAAAGGCTTAGGGTTACCAGTTAAACACATTTTGGTACAGAAGCATATTTACTGGCGTAGAAGGACCCCTGTTATACACCATTAGTGCAAATGTCATGGCAAAAATAGACTGTCCCTATAGTTCCACTTTTGTAAAAATAAGTTGAAAGTGACCCCAAAGTGCCTATGAGTGGTAGCTAAAATTTATCTGTGTGTTTCCTCCTTTCTTTGCACTCATGTTAAGTTTTGCCCACATGTTGAAAAGTGGAAGACAATTACCATGACCTTCATGAGCTGTTGTGGCACAGGTGTTCCCCTGAGAATAAATGGAACAGAGAACTTTTCTCCTTCACAATGTCCCCCAGTGAACCGTGCCATCTTGGTAAGTGTGGACTTGGAACAGCTCCCACCGGAGCACATCCGCGTAGAACCCAAAAGCCTCTGATTTGGACATCAAGGTGTTTTCTGACTGGGAGGTGCAGGAAGTCCTTGTGCCCATTGTTATGGGGTGGCTGATGCCTGGAGACCCCTCTCCTGACAAGGGGGAACCAAACACATCTAAAATGTCAAGAGGAATTGACACTTATATGGGATCGAATAGTGTCCCCCTCCCCAAATTCATGTCCATGTGAAACCAGCAAATGTGACCTATTGGTGGAAATAGAGTCTTTGCGGATGTAATTAGTTAAATTAAGATGAGATCATTCTGTGAAGAGGAACTTGAAGAAAAAAAAGATGAGGTCATACTGGATTAGGATAGGCCTTGATTCAATGACCGGTGTCCTTATAAGATGAGGAAAATTTGGACGCAGGCACACAAACAGGGAAGACGGCTATGAGAAGACGGAGACAGAGATTGGAGAGACGTGTCTACAAGCCAAGGACCATCAAGGATTGCTGACAACCACCAGAAGCTAGGAAGAAGCAATGAAAGATCCTCCCCTAAATCCTTTAGAGAGATCATGGCACAACTAACACCTTGAGTTCACACTTCTGGCCCCCAGAACTGTGAAAGAATATATTTCTGTTGTTTTAAGCTCCCCAGTTTGTGATAATTTGTTGTGGCAGCCCTTGGAAATTAATATAACACTTCTATAGAAGAAATTGGCCCCATATTCTAGAATGCCTCTCCAATCATGACATGGAGAGGAACATGCTTATCCACAGAGGACACACTGTCAGGCAGAGGGACTGTGTGGCTCTTTGATTGTGCTCTATATTGGCCTGTATGTGCACAGAGAAATAAGTCTCGGAGGTACCACAAGGCTTGTCTCTGGGTGATAGGTTCTGGGATATTTTCATCCTTTTGCTTGAATTTGTCTGTAGTTTTGAACTTTTCTACAATGTATATGTGTTACTTGTTTGAAAATATGTATCTATAGCCATATATACCCATCATCTATTTATTCATCTACTTGTCTTTAATTACTTGTATTCTTATGCACTCGCAGAACCCTTCCAAGTGAAATCGTTCCAGAGTAGCCCAAGGCTAGGAACTACTTCCTAAAAGCTGTGGCAAGGATGAGACTAGACAATAATAAAACCATATATTTGTATGATATTTGATACTGTTCAAAGAGCAAACCTTTATATGCATTGACACATTCAACTTGATACCCCCCTAACAGATAAGGAAACTGAGTCTCCAATTTCTAACTGTAATTCTGCAGGATGCCCTTTTCAGTTCCCACCCCAGGCTTGAGGAGTTGCTAAAGGACTCCTCCAAGATCTCATAGCTCATAACTCATGGTCCCAATGCCTGTTCCAGCACTAGTTTCTAGAATATAAGATCCATGGGGCAAGATTTTTTGTCCATCTTGTTCACTGGTGCAGCTCCAGCATTTAGAATGGTGCCTGGTATATAGTAGGTGATCAGTAACTTTTCACTGAATGAATATATAATTACAGTGTGATGAAAGCAAGCTCCTCTGGAGAGGTATTTTCTGCCACTAGAAACATGTTTTGTTCAAGCCAGGCTGTTGTGCTCTGCAGAAGGCAAGCAGGGATGCTCATAAGGTCCTGCTCTCTTCCCAATCTCTGTCCTTCCAAGGCCTGGCCCCCACCCCCAGGCAAGAAACAGCTAATCCCTAGGGCTGGCTTCTCAGATCACCTGCAAGGAGGCATCGGTTAATACATGATGTGGTTCAAAGTAGGGCTGGAAAGGGCTCTTTGTCCAAAAATAGTGCCACCCAGCAAAAAGATCCAGGGACAAGGGGAGGACAGACAGAATGATTTAGTTCTGGCACAAGGAATAGGACACATCAAGAAATATTCAGAGACACAGAGAAGGTGGTGGAAAGGTGGATGGAACAGTGCAGAAAACGACCAAAAATAAGTGAGGAAGGAAGATCTTGGTGAAACAAAGAAGAAAAAGAAAGGTGGGGAGAGGTAAGCAGAAGAGTCCTATTCCCCCAATCCCCACCACCAGCTGCCACCCTAGCCCAACCCCCAGTTCTCAGGCCCTCTCCCCCGGTTACCCCTCCACTTCCCCCACACAGGTGACACCTTCCCACCAGCCCTGCCCAGATCTCCCAGAGGACAGACTTTGCACAGAGGGGTGGGCTCCCTCCCCAGGTCTCCTTTTTAAATGCAAATCCTCTTGGAAAGCTGCCATCTCCCCTGCCTGGGGAGGGTGGAGGTGGCTACTGGGGAAGCTGGGAGATTGGAGAAGTGGGGAGAGGGCCTCTGACGACTGGGTGGGGAGCAGAGCTCTGGGGGCTGGGAGGATTTCACATCCCCCCCACCCTTTTCCACGCACCCCAGGGCTGGAAGAGGAAGCTTAAGGAGGATTAAGGGCCAACTGATTGTAGGTAAGGAAGTTGCCTTAAAAAGGCAAGCTGTCTTAATTAAGGACCATTTCAGGCTAATTTACTAGACAAGGAGAGAGGGGTGTGGTTTTGATGGCGAAAGGCTTTGGGAGATCACTCATTTCTGCATCCAGGTAGAGCCTCTGGTATTCTGGGAAAAGGAAGTCTTCTGGGACCTTTGAGCTATATGGGAGGGGAGTGACAACGGTGTTTTTCTTCTTTTCCAACATTGCATACTTCTGCCCCCAGCCTTCTAGGGTTCACAGCACAAGTAACCACTAGGTACAAAATGCCAATCCAGGATGTTACTCATGTGGCTGCACCCAAGAATCAATGCATTTTGTCAACCATCAATGCTCCTATTTCCACGCTTCTTAACAAAAACTTATCCCTAAATCCACTTCCATCCGGGAGCAGAGCATTCATTTTGCCACTTAGGATGGGAAAGAATTTTCTATCAGTGGGGTGGGATTTAGGAGTATCCTTCACAGAGTCGGTGAAATATGAAAATTACTGTGTTTTCACAGCTAGCTCCTCTGAAACCGGAAATGTGAGCAGAGCTGACTTAGTGCTAATACTTTCTCTTACTCCTGTAAGAAAGAGGAAAGACTGTGTTAGAGTTAGCAATGATGTGCGAAAACCACAGTAGAGGTTTTGTGAAGAAGAGCATTTGTGGCTTTTGCACAAGTTATTCCTAAACCGAGGCTGGGCACGGCATTATGACACTTTTCAAAGTAGCTTCTGGATTGGTATTTCACTGAAATGAAGATCTTTGAGCAAGACCGGAAAGCCAAAAAGCTACATTTCATGACCTCTGCAGGAAAGTAATAGTTGCACTGTGGAACATTCTAGAATGGCAGGCTCAAACCATGGCCCGGAAGAACTGTAGGCCTTTTTGTGTACGAGGGGGCAAGACAGGGAAAATCTAATTCCCAACAAAGGTTTTTAATAGTTTTCCACTCTCTCTCCCCACCTTCCACCTAGTTCTGTGGGTCTTCTCCAGCTACTTCCTCTAGCACAGGGGATCTGGTATTAGTTGGGAAAGAGCAAGTAAAGGAGGCAGAAGAAAAGTTAGTGTGAATCTCACAAGTCCAGCCTTTTTTAACTCAACAGTTGCCTGCATATGCAAAGAATCTGCAGCAGGCACCCAATTGTACTGGGAGCGCCTCTAAGTAGATTGTGCACCTAGATGTGGCCCTAGAAAAAGTCAATGCTATTTTAGAACTAACCCAGATTTGGAGAAGAAGAAATGAGGAGAGATTTGCCAGGTAAATATATGGCTATCACTATAACCTTGGGCATGTCACTCTTTGTGCCGTAGTTTTCGCATATTTTAAATATGAATACTTCTCAGCATTGTCGTGAGGATTCAATAACATATATGTAAAGTGCTGTTACACAGCAGCCAATTCCCCCCACCCTCTCTCACTGCCTGATTTTCTCCCCTGTAATGTCCATTAGCACTGTGTGAAGCCCACGAAGGCAAGTGATACACTATCATTTCTCTGTTTTCCTGTGGTTTTTTTTCATTTGCACCAGTGAATACAAAATGTTTTTTACTGGATTCTGGCTCGTGTTTAATCATGCAGAGTGTCAAAGTAAAAAATATAGAAACGAATTTCCAAACAAGACATTTTATTTGGGAAAATGATTGCAGTTTAGGGCATGCACACAGATCTTTGGCATGTTCGAAGAACAAAGAGAAGGTTGAGGGTTTTATTAGAAAGAGAAATGTTACCTATTGTTTTGAAAGAAAACTCCTTGGCACTAGTGACGTTTCTGGGAGCTGGCGAGCTCTGACTGGTGAGTGAGGGCAGTGGATAAAACTAGTCTTAGAGTCTTACCAGATCATTTCAGCAGCTATCAGGTAAGACTGGTTTTAAGATTATAGCAAGTCATTTCAGCAACTGGCTTGCAATAGAATCCCTGGGCAGGTGCTTTGTACCCTGAATGCTCTCTCTCCCCTGACTAAATTAGAGTGGTGTCTCCACTCTAATTTAGTTGGGTATGACAAGATAACTCCAATTCATAGAATCA